ATAGGGTTGGGGTTATCATTATAATACGTATGTCTATTGACTTTTATTCTCTCTTTTCACAACAGAATATATATTTTATATTTTTAGAATCCTAATTAGCAACTGATTTTCGAAAATAAATCTCAATAACATGATTGATGATAATCAAAGTTAAATGCAAGGTTCCAATACTTTAATATTAAATTCGGCACAAATAGATTAAATATTGGGCTTTGGCAAGCCTGTCCAGTGGCGAATCTTAGTTTCCTCAATTGGGTTTTTAAATTCTATTACTTCTACTTGGGCTTACCACAACTGTATGTCAAGTCCTAGAACAGAGGGCCAGTAGAGTTGCTAGAAGATGTGAATTTGATCGTACTAAACAATAGCAGTTTTAAATGCACATCTAATCGCGAAGCGAGCAGAGAATATGGGGGCAATATTGACCAACCAACTAAAAAAAATATGCATTTTCTTTCATTGTGGGTTTGCAGATACACACCCAAAAAAGGGAAAAATATGAGGAAATTTTCAAATAAAATTTTTTGAACGATTCTTAAGATGCGAACAACTTACTAAAAACTTTTATGCATTCAATTCACCAGAGAGATCCATCCATCCATCCATCTTGAAGAAGAAATAAGTGTCTGATACAGAGAGATTGAGAGATAAAAGGTTGAATGTTTTGTAAGTGAGGAAAGTTTTAGCTATATATAAAGATTTCATTTCAATTAAGAAACTATATCTATTGAGGATATTGACTCCTCTAGGGTTTTATTTTCTCTTTTATAGATACAAATTTAGAAATGGATTATTGTAGGTTGGTGTTACATCAATTAGATAAGGATGGCTAAACTATTGCATGTATGTATAGGGGTGTGAATGCCTGATAAAGATGGCTGACCTATTGCATGCATGGATATGGGTGTGAATGCCATTGGAATCACTCTTACACTATTTACCTCAATAATCACTAAACTTTGGATGCTTCACTAAAATTTTAGTGGCCATAATTTTAGTATTTGACTAAAATGTTGGCACTTAGTCAAAACTTCAGCGGTAAGACAGTCAAATTTATATAACAGATTTACACTTAATGATAAGGTTCTCTTCGTTTGAAGATTTTGATCTTTGAAGTGTTATAATCACTAAGGCAAGAAACAGGGAAAGAGGTCGATGGGTGAGTACCAATAGCAAGGAAAATGTAAAATTGATTATGTTGAAGTAAGACAGTCAAATTAATTAGGATTCATCCATTTGTACAACCATGAATGACAATAGATGAGTTGTCAAAAAATTGTTGATTGCAAAAACAAATTGGAGCTGTCTGAAGCAAATTAAAATCAGCAAGGAATTGATTTTATTACCGTTTATTTTTAAAAAATGGGACCCACTCTCTCACAACTGGGTCAACAATTACGGCCACAACGTTCCAAATTCTGATTAATAATGTTTCCAGACAAGGTCATTGTTTTTCAAACTTTTCAATGACAATTTGCCATGTGATATTTTGTCAACGAGATTGTCATCCATGATTGTACACCAATCATGATTCAATTAATTATTCATGTTAAGGTCCCAATCAAATAATGGATCTTATTTAATATGCGTGTCAAGTCAATAATAGGATGGAACACATTGGGCTCCTGTTTAGTGGTCTTTTTGGGGAAAAAAAAAAACCTAGTTTTGAATAGTGATCATTTTTTGAAAAATATATAGTTTAAAAGTAGAAAAAAGTCTTGAATTTACGTGTAGAATATTTTATTATATAAATATGTGGTTGAAAATGAATACGTAGAAAAATGAATTTTCAAAGAATAGGAGACAAATAGGGGCTTAATGGACATTTTAGTGTGAAAACTTGACCAACTAGGCTCCTTAACTCTCGTCTCTAAGAGCATGTTTGAACCCAATTTTTAGAGAAGAATGCATTTTGTAATAGTAGAATGATGGAGAATGTGTGATTAAAAAAAGAAAAAAATTTCAGTTTGCTTGAAATATTATTTTATTAAAAAATGTGTGATTGAAAAGAAGAAATGGAAAAATATATTTTGAAAATAATGAGAATCAAATAAGGGTCAAAAGTGGAATTGATATATGAATTAGCAGTATATAATTTTTACACAGTTTACATGTAGAATGATCTCATTTTATTAATACTCTCTGTCTTAACTTATCTATAATAATCAATGTGCCATAATAACCTTAATTATTGTACTTCGAAGGTCATTCAACACATCATATTTGGCGCATTAATTTATTTTATGATTTGTTACATGATTATTTTCAATTACATATTTTCACAATAAAATATTGTATATAAAATTTTTTTAATACTTTTTAACCACACATTCTCCTAAAAATACTATTCAAAACTCATTTTATCCCAATTACGTTGATTATTTTATTTTGTGATATATATGCATATGCAAGATTTAAATCATTGTTCATCTAAAGTAAATACCTAATTATTCCTTTGTATAATATGTTTGAGTTAAAATAGATTATAAGTGTTAACCCACGTTGGTGAGTAGGGTTGGATATAGTCCAGTTAGATTCGGTTTTAAAGAGAATAGAACCAAACACGAATTTTTGAGTATTTTGTAAGGGAAATCGTTGGTTCCAAATTTAATATTGAATATGTCATTAATTCAATTAATGACATGTTCAATCTTATCGTGCAATCCAATCCCCGTGATATCTTTGTGCCTCTTTTTGTGGATATCTTAATAGTTTTGACTGTTAAAATCACATGAAGAGAATTATAGCAACCTCACAATAATGAAGAGAGACGCAACCGAGCTACGAAATACGACAATACGATATAATAAGAGATTTTGGTAAAATTTAGGTTAATTTAATTATGTTGGGCTTTGCTGGAAATTAAAATAGGAAAATTATATTTTGGGTTTTGGCTAAATTAATCAGTTAGCAAATTTATTTAGAAAAAAATAAAATAATTTGACTTAAGATAATAACTTAAAAAAATTAAGGAAATTCAGTCTTTAGGTTCTTGATCTAGAATTGAGAACTAAATCACTCGTTGGTTCTTGATTCAAATACTCATTTGATTATTTAATTTAAGAAGAACCGCTCGGTTCGATTCGATTCAATTTGATTCGAGTCTAATTCAGTCCTATTTAATTCAAGAGTTTTGTCCAACCCTATCGGTGAATTCCAAAATAATTTGCATTAAAACACTCCCATTGGATTACGTTTCTCGCTCCATACCTAACAAGAAATGTGTTCATTTTTTACTTTTTGTTTTATGGAAAGTTTAAATCCTCGAAAATTTTCTATTTCTCAGTACAATTGCTATTATAATCTCTATTCCCTTTATCCATTCTTGGTATCCATTTAACACACTCCCACCAGATCACGTTTCTCGCTCTGTACAAAACAACAAATGTTCTCACTTTTCTTTTCTATTTTATGGAAAGTCTAAAGTCTCGAAACTTTTCTATTTCTGGGTAGAACAGCCATAATCTTCTGTATTCTCTTTATCAATTCTCTTTTCCTACTTAGGTATATGAATTTCTCAGTACAACAGCCATAATCTTCTGTATTCTCTTTATCAATTCTCTTTTCCTACTTAGGTATATGAATTTCTCAATCATTTGATTACATTATCTATTAATCAACGTAGAAGATTTTTCAGAGATTCTTCCAACTCATCACTCGAGAAAGGAAAAAAAAGAATAGCAGAACCAAAGAAATTTTTGCATTACATGCAAATAAAAAATATAAAGTTCAACGTAGCATTAACTACATTTCTCTTAATAATTGTCTCTTTTAACTCTTGAATTCTCAATTACTTGTCTTTTTATTATCACTTTCAATTGAGGCCAAAAGGAGAGGGAGAGAGGGGGGGGGGGGGGGGGGGGGGGGGGGGGGGGGGGGGGGNGGGGGGGGGGGGGGGGGGTACTTGAATCTATAAATGAATAATTGTGACAATCTATAAAGTGATTTTCACAGTAAATGCTAATTAGCGAGAGAAGAGATGACGAACATGCCTATACGAACAAAATTATAGAAGAGAGGTATTACATAAAAGACAAGATATTTTAGTTTCTTAATCAATCATATTAGCTCAATGGTTAACAATATTCATGAAGAAAAAAAATATTTGAAATCTTATTCATTGTTACTATTTAGTTCATTCAGTATTAGACATGCACGTTGTGCACTTAGTTAATTTCCTAATATTCTCATTCAATGTGAATTTCAACTTAAAATTATACACAAATCATGTAAATTCTGAGTTGGTTCAAAATGTTAAGCATTATACACGAACCGGATCACTATCCCAATTAAAATAACACAAGCAAATACAATAATGTCATTTAAAATCTCTATTGTGTGTATCGCAAATAAGTTTTACTGTCAATAAATAAATAATTAATATTTTTCCATCATCATCATCGACATATTAAAAGACTCAATACAAGTAGATATGCCACGTCTTATTGATTTAACATAAGTCTATCGTATGGATATGAACTTCTTCAAATTCAACCAAGACATCTCAACTGTTAATTATTATCCTCAATAAGTATCACTTCCACATTTGACAAATATTCTTATTTATTGCCATATCCCTTCGTTTCTAATATGTCCTCAAAATTCATTTTAATGTCTTTGTTTTTGCTCAAGTTATGAATGATACAAAAAACGAATGTTGTGACTCGACGCATTGTTTTCGCCCAGAAAGTTGAGGTAATTTGATAAATCAATTCGAAACGAAATAAAGTGATTTTTTTAATTCCAAAAATACAATAATATGTAAAAAAAAGGGGGGGGGGGGGGGGGGGNAACTTTTTCAGATTTTCAACATAAAAATCTATTTTCTAGAGGCAGTGGATTAAAATAAAGCAATCCTCAGTACTATATATATATGTCTAAATGGGAGCTCCCATTCAAAAATTCTATACACCGACTACTTTGAGTACTAATAGTGTCTCTCTTAACACTAACCAAATTTGCCAGAGAAACTTCTCTGGTTCAACTGAGATTATACAGAGATGGAGATGTCCAGGTTCAGGCTTCTTCCCTTGGTGATACTTTTGTTTGTCTGTCATCCCTGTGTTGACGCTGACGAGACAAACCACCAGCAGAAGACGTACATCATTCACATGGACAAGTCCGACATGCCTGCAAGTTTTGACGATTATCAGCAGTGGTACGACTCATCTTTAAAGTTGGCGTCGGCCTCTGCCGATATGCTATACACCTACAATAATGTCATCCTTGGCTACTCTGCACGACTGACATCTGAGGAAGCCAGGTTGCTTGAAGAGCAACCGGGTGTTCTATCAGTCCAAGAAGAAGTACAATATGAACTTCATACGACTAGATCACCTGAGTTCCTTGGACTTCTCAATTATGCAGGTCTACCTAAGTCTAACATAATGAGTGAAGTTATCATTGGTATGTCTGTAATCGCAAACTCATTGGAGCGAGGTATTTCTCAAAAGGATATGAAGCAGAAAGAGGACCAATTAACGAGACATATGAATCAAAATCACCAAGGGATTATGAGGGTCACGGAACACACACTGCATCCACAGCAGCTGGATCAACTGTTGTTGGAGCAAGCCTCTTTGGTTATGCTGCAGGTACAGCACAAGGAATGGCAAAACAAGCCCGATTAGCAGTATATAAAGTATGCTGGACCCGTGGATGTTTAAGCAGCGATATACTAGCAGGTATGGAGAAGGCAATAGAAGATGGTGTGGACATACTATCACTGTCCCTAGGTGGCTCAAGCAGTGATTACTTCAGAGACGTTATTGCAATTGCAGCGTTCACAGCAACATCTAGAGGAATCTTTGTTTCGTGTTCGGCTGGAAATGGTGGGCCCTCCCATGGAAGCTTGTCAAATGTTGCACCATGGATAACCACTGTAGGTGCCGGAACTATAGACCGTCAATTTCCAGCATATATTAGCCTTGGAAATGGGAAAAAGTTCACTGGATCATCACTCTACAGTGGAAAACCGTTACCCAATTCCTTTATACCACTGGTGTTTGCTGGTAATGTTAATAGCACACCCGATGGTAATCTGTGCTTACCTGGAAGTCTGATTCCAGAAAAAGTCAAGGGGAAAATTGTGATCTGTGATCGAGAAGGGTATCTAATGCCACCGAAGGGTTTGGTAGTAAAAGATGCCGGTGGCATTGGGATGATTCTAGCAAACACTGAATTTAATGGAAGAGAGCTGGTTGCTGAAGCACATTTCATACCCGCAGCAACTGTTACTTATACAACGGGTGACAACATAAAAAAGTACGTCTCAACTGAACGTAATCCGACAGCCACAATTGCAACTGGATACACCCAGGTCGGGGTCCAACCATCACCTGTCATAGCATTTTTCAGTTCCCGAGGACCAAACACAATCACAAAAGATATACTTAAGCCTGATCTGATAGCTCCAGGTGTTGAAATCCTAGCAGGATGGACGCGAAAAGTTGGACCGACAGGATCGCCGGAAGACACCCGACATGTGGATTTTAACATAATTTCTGGTACATCAATGTCATGCCCACATACAAGTGGATTAGCAGCATTAATCAAAGCTACCTATCCAGAATGGAGTCCTGCAGCAATTAGATCGGCACTGATGACCACAGCTTACAATACATATAAGAACGGAAAACGCATTCAAGATCTTGCAACCGGATTGCCAGCAACACCATTTGATTATGGTGCTGGACATGTGGACCCCGAATCAGCACTTGACCCGGGTCTTGTCTATGATGCCAACATTGACGATTATATAGACTTTCTTTGTGCCATAAACTACAGTTCAAGTATGATCAAAACCATCACAAAACAAGATCATTCCTGCAAGGATGGTAAGAAATACAGAGTGGGAGATCTTAACTACCCATCTTTTTCTGTTTCTTTCCGGACAGCCTCAGGCATGGGTGGTAAAAGTAGTGCACCAACAGTGGTCAAATACACAAGGACCCTAACAAACGTGGGCAACCCAGCAACTTACAAAGTTTCACTCTCTAAGGAGACGAAGGCAGTGAAGATTATGGTTGAGCCAGAAGTGCTTGCTTTCAGCAAACCAAATGAGAAGAAAAGTTTCACAGTGACATTCACCGCAAGTTCCATGTCCTCAGGCACAACCAGCTTTGATTATTTGAAATGGATGGATGGAAAGCACATTGTTGGCAGCCCAATTGCATTTAGCTGGTCATGATTCATGCACTACAAACTCTCAAGTGAAAATATTTGACCATTCTACATATTTAAATAATAAATAACTTGGGCCATGGATTTTTCTATTGATGTCTCCAACTCTTTAAATTGAAGTTATACTGCTAATATAAAAGGGATGAGAAAATATTCAACTTAAGAGATTAAACAAGTCCTCCCACCCCACCCCACCCCAACCCAACCCAACCAAACCAAACCAAACCAAAAATAAAAAATAAAAAATAAAAAATTGAATAAAAAATGTATTAACGTAAGAAAAAGAAGAAGAAGACAGGAAGAGGAGGGGAGGGGGGGGGGGGGG